TCAAAAAAGTCGCAGGACTGCGGCGCACTCCGCCACACTCCGCCGCAGTGCGCCGGAGTGCGGCATAGTGCGCCACACTCCGCCGCAGTGCGCCGGAATGATCGTCAATTTAGCCATATCTCGCTTCAGAATGGACGAATTCTAAATCCGAGAACACCGTTCGATTCAGCTCGGCGAGACGCATCATCTTATATATGAAGCTGAACGTCTGTTTGTCAGTTTGTCTGTACGTATGTTCCGAATAAAAAATTCCATTTCTGAACCGATCCGGACCAAACTTGGCACACATACACTTCGGGCACCGGCGGGTGTCATAGGCTACTTTACGTCATCGATCGATATCGATTTTATCGATTTTTATCGATTTTTTGCAGAGTTTACCTACGGGGCCGGGAGTTGGCACAGGGGGGTAAGCGAGCATGGGGATTCCGAATACAATATTAGTTTGCAGAATTATCAATTACTTTTATCGATTTTTATTGATTTTTTTGCAGAGTTTACTACGGGGCTGGGAGTTGGCACAGGGGGAGGGTAAGTGAGCATAGGGATTCCGAATACAATATTAGTTTTCAGAATTATCGATTATTATTTTGGTTGAATTCAGTGTGCTGATAACAGTATTACCATTGATCTGTCGCTGATGACACATAAACAGTATACTACAGGAGTATGGTAGAGAGCCACTCTGATCGAATTTGTTCTAAGATCTGCTCAAGATCACAATATCCACAAAATGTCAAAATTTCCGTGAACTTCGCGGAATTCCGGGATTTCCGCCAGAGTGCGCGATAATCCGGGAAGTTCACGACATTTCAGGATCTGCGAAACCATGCGAATCACGCAGAGTACGCAACGCCATAACTTCCTTCGGAATGAAAATATTCCGAATCCAGAAGCAGCATTGTGTTCAGATCGTCGAGGCAAAGATTTTGTATACAGTATGCTCTCGATATTCCATTTCCAGTTTTTTCGAATTTTTTCTGTGGAGGTCCATTCACAAGGATGTAATGCAGCGTCTGTGTAACACAAAAGATTCCAGTAAGCACTGTTCGATAGTACTGTCCTTGTAGGTTATCGTGCGTTCAAGAGTAGCTGCAGACTATCTTCCAAGAGAGATAGAAGCGTTGGTGAATTTTGGAAAAATCCCGCGTTTCTAAATTCTACTCGCTGTAACTTCCTTCGGAATGAACATATTCTGAATCCGAAGTAAGCTTTGTGCTCAGTTCTTCAGGGCAAGTCTTTCCATATACAGCGTACCCTTGATATTCCGATTTCAATATTCTCAAATCTTTCTGAGACGTCTTTTCGCGAAGGTGCGCGCATTGCCCCTAGTAGACTCCAGCAAGGACCTTTCGATAGTACTTTTTCTGTAGATTACGTAGCGCTAAAAAAGTATTCACAGGCATCTTTCCAATGGAGGTAGAATGGCTGGTAAATCGTGAAAAAATCTTGATGTCCCAAATTCTACTCGTCGCAACCCTAGAATACGAGGCTATCTTGCTAAGCAGATGTGAGTTTTGTAATCACCAGGTCGGATAACCCTTATGAACAAGTTTTCCGAGATGTTTGGGTAATTTCATTTTTTTTGTCTGACGCTCTGAAGCTGGCCGGTGGATTTTGGTCAAAATTTGATGATCTTCAATTGTAAAGAAACGCCGCTCATAGAGGTTTTCGAACACGCTGCTTATGAAAATCGTGTTCTCTGTCAAGTATAGGGTCTTTTTGCAGAGATATGGTGAGATGACTGCAACGGATTCACGAAAGCTCGTAATTTCGCCTCCATATCTGTCAAAAAACCTACCTGCTTGCTTGTCTAGTCAATGTTACTAGGAGATGTGCTATCGAATGGCGCATGACTCAGACTCCATTCTATAAAATTCGCCGAGTTACGAGCCTACGAAAACACGTTCTCATGAATTTTACCCAAAATGTAAAGATCGCAAAATTTCGTCGAAATTCCACCGTGAGTGCTTGTACAACACGCTGATCAAATCTTTTCACATTCTTAATGAATCTTATTGTGTTAGATTTGGTGGTTTGAGCTCTAGCCACAAAATAGCTTTGATATTCAATTGCTGAAGCACACGCAAGCACCATATTCAATACAGTGGAGTCATTGGGCGAAGCGAACATAATCTCCGCAATGCGAGTGTCATACAAGCACTCACGGTGGAATTTCGACGAAATTTTGCGATCTTTACATTTTTAGTAAAATTCATGAGAACATGTTTTGGCTCGTAACTCGGCGAATTTTATAGAATGGAGCTTGAGTCATGCGCCATTCGATAGCCATCTCTTAGTAACTTTGACTAGACAAGCAAGCAGGCAGGTTTTTTGACAGATATGGAGGCGAAGTTACGAGCTTTCGTGAATCCGTTGCAGTCATCTCACCATATCTCTGCAAAAAGACCCTATACTTGACAGAGAACACGATTTTCATAAGCAACGTGTTCGAAAACCTCTATGAGCGGCGTTTCTTTACAATTGAAGATCATCAACATTTTGACCAAAATCCACCGGCCAGCTTCAGAGCGTCAGACAAAAAAAAAAGAAATCACCCAAACATCTCGGAAAACTTGTTCTTAAGGGTTATCCGACCTGGTGATTACAAAACTCACATCTGCGTAGCAAGATAGCCTCGTATTCTAGGGTTGCGACGAGTAGAATTTGGGACAACAAGATTTTTTCACGATTTACCAGCCTTTCTACCTCCATTGGAAAGATGCCTGTGAATACTTTTTTAGCGCTCGTAATCTACAGAAAAAGTACTATCGAAAGGTCCTTGCCGATAAGCTCCTATAAAAGCTTGAACATGGCATGCTTGTATACGGCCTCACCTGTTTTAACACACATTGTCTCGAATTATCAAATTTTTTCAAGTTTTGGTTTTTTGCCTCAAAAGAATTCCTTAAAAAAGAATTCTAAAAATTATATATGATGTATTATCTTCCGTTGCTGTTCTAGCAGTAATAAATTACACAGAAAATGCAATACCGCAGTGTCCTAAAAGTTTATTACTTTTGAGCAATTTGCAAGAATTCTTCTCAAAGTATCAGAAGTTAAAGCAATATCACAATGCTATTTACAATTATTGAGCATTGCATTTATGATCTGTTCGCACTTTTAAAAGGGTACAAAATATTAGGTCGTTCCGAAAGTAATGTCGCTTTTTTCAAATGAACGCCACATTCGTGGAACCAAGATTTTCAAGAGCTCTTGGGTTTGTTCGATGCAGAATTTTGTCCTCTTTCTAAAGGTTGTAATCTCATTGCATAATATTCAATGAGCTCTCAAAAAATTACCAAAACCTGCGACTCATGCTTTTTGTCATGGTCAAGTTCGGCTATTTTTCTATATTTTTGTACTGATTCCCCGAAGATGTACAAGTAACAGAAGAGCAAACCCTATAGGACACAAAACAATTTTTTTCTTTTCCTTAGTATGCTTCTTATAGTTTGTAGAACTAATTTTTCGATGCTGTCAAATTCCATATTTGGTCGACTCAGACCTCACAGAACAACAACCGGCAAGCAACTCGGGTGTCATTCAACGCAGCTTTTTCTCCTCTTTTTACCAGTTGTTTTTGGTTTCCGATTCATAAAGTTTTCCGGAAAAAATCATCATATTTCAGGTTTTCCAGGGTACCCCAGGCTGTACCCAAAAATTTCCGAAAGTTGCTAATCTGAAGCGTAAATGCTCATATGCTTTGTAAAATTAGTGTTAAACCATAATTCACATTTGTAAGTTTTAGAATCCGAAAGTTTATTGGTGTTCGATGCATATGTGTTTGAGACAAGCCTGCAAAAATTCGGTGACTTCATTGAAAAATCTCTGCAAAAATTATGACGTGATACGGAGAGCAGAAAAAAATGGCACCGTTTCCTATAGGGTTTGCTCTATCCATCCATTATTTGGAGTCCTTCCGGAAATTATTACAAAAAATTAGAAGAATTGTGAAACTTGACCTTTTCAAAAAGCATGGGTTGGAGATTTTAGTAATCAAAAGCTCAACGAGTATTCTGCAGTTGAATCATAGCCTTTGGAAAGAGGATGAAATGCTGCATCGAATGTTACCAAGATCTCCTAGAAACCTTGCTTCCACGAAATGTAGCGTTCAGTTGAAAAAAGCGACATTACTTTCGGAACGACCTAATATTTCGCACAATGAAAGAGAAAATCTGACTTTTTTGAAACATGGGAAAAAGGCATGACAGAATTCAGTTCTTCCTCATACAGCGAGCGCTGAAAAGATGGCTTTTAACAACCCTTTTCTTGTGTGTACACCCTCTTGGTAAGGAAACTCCGAGCACAACGCTGAAGTTCCGAAGTTGCTTATCTTAAATATGTACACAGTATTTACAGAAGAGATGTCAAGGCAGATTATGGATAATTGAGATTTTAGTCCCCTCCTCCAAACACAAACACATACTGCAACTATATGTAAACTATGCTTCGGATGTCCATGAACAAAGTCTTTAACTATGCAAGCTCTTCTCTTTATTGGCAAAAATCTCGTCTTGCGCAGTGGACAATATAGCTTTGCTTGCTCTCTACTTTACAACGTAGAATGGGACTAGAAGACCCCTTTTGAGTAATTTTCGTCAAGAAGCTTTTGAATAGAAGATGTTTATCGTTAATAGCTTGTGCTGACATTATACTCACCAAAACATAAAGAAGTCTTATTAAGAAAAGCCCTGGGGAAGTTCCCTCGTATCTAGGTGCTCGGAAAGCACTGCATTTAAGGGAAGTTTCCGAGGATTTCCTCGGGAAGTTCCTAACTTTAGTGCTGTTGACGTCATTTTTCTCGGGAGGTTCCCATTTTTTCGCCTTCTTTCAGCTCAGTACTGAATGAAGCTCTCGGGAAGTTTCGCAAATTAGCTTGTCCTCGGGAAGTTCCCGTGATTTGTCTAAGTGACCAAATAATCTGTAATGGTGATGACTTTTTAGACAGACGGATTTCACGGCAATGCCAGATGTTCTCGCATAGTTGGACGATTTGCAAAAAAAAAGTATTTATCCATACATGGAAGTACAAGGCAGGCATGTGTCTGTTTAAAAAAGTTTTCGCTCTTCCTTTGGGAAAATCGTTTCGAGATTGAGTACGCCAATGTTAAATAGTTTCTTGGGCGATCCTCCTGCGGAAATGTACTGACTTGGGATGCGGAATTTGACCTTGCGTTGTCCGGGCTAAATGAATGGATTTACAATACAACGTCAATAAAATGCATGTTGAGGAAAAAGGGTTTACTTTTATTCCATCATCGCAATCATGGTAGACTTTGAAAACTGGGTCAATGTTGGTGACTTCTTTCTCTGATCCCTGAAAAATTCATATTCTCGGAACTATTTTCGTTGAGAGCAGATCTTCTGCTTCACTATATTTGCCATCTGTATATGCTTATGAAATCAGAATAAAACTTACAAACTTTTTTGTGCTACTCAGCTATCTTTACCTGTAAAGTGAACTCTCCTTTTGCATTCGTTACACCCTCAGCAAGCAAGTCGTCGGGGTCCGGTCCTTTAAAGTTCTTGTTGATTTTTTTTGAGAAAGAAGGGAATGCTTACCATCATCCTCATCCCAAAGCTTCACCGTCACTCCAGATGCTGGTTTGTCACCGCAAATTAGTCTACCAGTAACACCAACAGCTTGTTGACGTATGGCAAGGGAGCAACAGGCGAGTGCGAGGAAAAGGAATAGATATTTCAACATTTTCGAAGTCAGGAAGAGACTGAAATTTTCGATGGTATAGACTTTCTACTAAACATTTATCAAAAAGACCAATATGATGTGTCACAGCCACAAACTTACTTCAGCTAGGAGGAATGGATGAAACCTTTCGGTCTGCATGAAGCCCCTGTGTCGAGCTATTTATGCTCCTTAGATAGAGTTTTTTGCACAGATTTCCTTATCATTTTAGATGACTGATACTTCCGAGTATTGCTAAGCCCTTTGCGTAGGCGAGGCACCAAAGCGTAGGAACAAAAAAGCATACTTTGGTGTGGTTTGAATATTGATAATGCTTTATATCTGTGAATCAGCATTGATAGTTTATGGCTATGACCCGACAATAAAAATTTACGGTGCTCTTGAGGTTTCTAGCTTATGCCACAGAGAAAAAGTTGAATACGTGAAAATGAAGAATAACAAAAACCATTAAAAAGCTCAGATTTCTGCATTTTCTATAGGGACAAGAGAGAGCAGCAATAAAAATCATTTTAGTTGCAAACGATTGTTCCTTTTTTGTGCATCGCATAGCAGATAGACTTTTGATGCACTACCTGGCGATGCATGTCAGGCCATGATTACGGTACTTTGGTAGTACCGTAATGCTATCTTAGCATCTAATAACAAATTTTTCCGGCTATGTTTTTGCAAAAAGTGATCTAAAGTTAGGTGCTACAAAGTTACTTAGCGGTATTATCGGGATTTGAGCAAGGAATCTAAAGCTTTCATAATTTTAGCTGTATCTCAACTTAGCATCGTCTAATAGTTTTAAATGAAATCAGGTTTAGCAGAAGTAACGCTTCTTATCCTGATGTAGCAGAAGATATGGAGATGTTGGAACATATCGTTCGTTAGGGCAAAGCGAGCTCTACGACATGGCCTACGAAATTTCGTGAAAAGCTTGACATTTTTGAAAGAACTCCATAAATGTCATGCGAACCTATAAATTTGGTCAGCATATAATATCCGCGTCAGTTATCCATATTTACACTTGCCGTTTTTTTAATGTAACTGGAAAATGAAAAATGACGTTAGGTGAGAAACACACTGTCGGGTTTTTGGGTTTTTTAAAGGTTTTTCGGACCAAATTGCGATTTTTGGGCATTTAAATTTTAGATTTCTTTGAAACCAAGCGCGTGTTAAGTTCTTTGCGATTGTCAGATGCCATTCTGGAGCTTGATTTGCTCTGTTGAATGATGTGTTCCATACATTTGGATATTCTTCCTGCCGCGGCAGAACAAGAAACGTTCTTGTACTTGCTAATATATTACTAAGTTGTTTTAATAGTTCTGTCTTTGCAGATTTTCCGACTTAGAATTCTTTTTCATTCAGGAACATTTTTTTAACAAATTGAATTTTGCTGGCTAAAGCGAGTTGTTATCTGTGATAAGTATAATATGACATGTGAAAAAGGCAAGTGAGAGAGAAGGGATAATTCGAGTAAATTTGCGAGATTTTCTTGAAGACGAAAAAAACTAGCTATTAGTTCCTGCTCGCTCTCTCTTTACTCAAATATATGCAATATATACATAAATTACCGCATTACGTAGATTGTCGTTGCTTGTTTAATGACTGGTTCTCCTCAGTTATGGAAAAAAATTGAAGAGTAAGACGTTCTTAATTGGGAGGAAAAGTTGCGTATTTTAGCGCATTACAACTCCTTCCTTTTTATGAAATTTTGGATAGGTAATTTTACGAACACGGCGAAATTTCTTTCACAGAAACCTTTTTTGAGCATGGCTGCGTTTTGATACCTTAATATCGGGGACTGAAAGTGCATTACTAGAAAATCATCTCAACGAAAATGAGCAAGCATTGGAAAGAGCGGAAGAGTGCTGGTTTTTTTAGTACTGCAAAGAACAAAGCTATAAGATTATAACTGCATAAAACAAGGCGCTGAAAATCAGACAGAACTTTGAAAGAGCCTAATAGACTATGTAATCTCATACGCAACTTTATATAGGATCTCCCTATCTTGATTTTGGTACTGCTACTTCCACCAGCAAGATGATAGGGCATTTGAGCGAGTGGATTTCATACCTTCTTCACTTACAGGCTCCGACGAAGGCGAGTTGGCCGAGACGTTAGCCTAATAAACGTTACATCTATCCTGGTGAAGGTTCAGACATTTCACAAAGGATACTATTTATATGCCAAGGTTCACCTTGAGTCCTAAAGGCTACTCCAAAGCGAAGGCGTAGAAGCGTTCAAACAAAAGCAATCTTTTGTTTGCACCATAAGTCAGACTTCCTTCTTCATCACATCCTCGCAAATTCGTAAAATCCATCGTAAGGTGTAGAAACTCTTCGAAACTTTTAAGTAACAATGCTGAGCGCATTTCTCTTCATCCTGTCCGTGTTGGCCACTGCAAATATTCAATAACCAGTGCTTCACCTCTGCTTCGCAGAGGCTCGCACTGATCATCACGGAAAGTGTTAGAGTAAACTTACGCTGTATCCAATTGTTTCTCACATCATTCCAAAGTTGCCTGAAGCGAGTGACTTCTAATGGAAAATGAAAATGAACCTCGCTTCAGATATCATATGCTTGAAGTACCGTAAATCATTCTTCACTGTATTTTCGTAACGGACAAACTCCACACAACTCCAGATTAAGCGGCTTATTATAAGTCATGATGCGTAGGTACTGTATTTTATTCCACTTGCATGCTTCCTCATTGATCAAACTTGCTACACTCTATGTTTTTCTCACCAGGAAGCCTAGTATGGGATTCGCAGCGGCAAGGAGCAAGAAAGAGACACCAGGGCCCAGCACAGATCGCCTGGAAGCAGGAGGCTGAACTTCGTTTTTGAAGCAAACAGCGAAGGGGACATCGTTTTCGACGAGTTGGAACCGAGCACCAAGAATAACCGCCATTTAGTCGAACACAAGTATTTCGGACAGGTTCACACGATTGACATGCTCTATCGTGTATGGCGAAAAGTGCGCGCGATTTGAAGCGAGGCTAAAATAGAAAAATTGCTTGTTTACAGCGCACACAAAATCATATGACACCAAAACTAAGCTGTATACATAGAAAATTATTTGCAAGAGAATTATGTAAAAAGTTTTGAAAACTTATGTGAAGTAATACCTATTCCAAAATTAGATCGTCTCCAGACGGCCACCAGACGATCTGAGATCGTCTGGAGCATATATTTTCGTCACTTCACATAAGTTTCGGATCTTTTTGGCATGGACGGTTCTCCGAATAAAAATCTGTCCCTGAGCATAAAGACATTTTCATATCATTGCCTTTCCTTTATTTTTTGCCTTCATTTCTTCTCGCTCGGTTAAATATCGCGCTTTAATGTCAAAGTCTTGTGCATGCGTAGTAAAAAGCTCCATTTTGGATTTCGCTCTTATCTTACGTCTTTCCTTTCAGACTAGTAAATCTTTCTTGTTTTCATCTTCTCCAAAGCGGGTAGGTCAAAGGGGACTTCGTAAAACTTTCGAAAGTCAGGAAAGACTTCTCAGAAACCCTAGAAACCGACTCGTGCCGGCCCTGAGAGACACAGTGGGAACAATTCAGGCTTTAATGCGGGATTTCAAACTGATGTCTCCAAGGAATTAGAAGAGTGGACTTAGGGCAATATGAATTTTCAGTATAGCTAACTTTTCAATGCTGATTGTAATGATCGGAAACAGAAGCTTCCATCACCTTTTCAGCATACTTGGAATCAATGTTCTTAAATGCAGTGGATCGGCAAATCCAACAACTCGGGATTTTAACTCGGTAGGTTCCTTATCGCCCAACTATGAAAACAGTGCAATCCCGGTTGCACAACATGCTTTCCCTGCCGAGAAAATCGCTCTCGAACTTACACGCGCACGCCAATCTTACACGCATCTGGACGAGTTGGCAATTTCCTTCTCACCATTGGAGGCTGCCCGCCGCAATGCTATAATCATTGGGTCCTGCCACGATTTAGCGGCATCGGCCTTGCTCCACTCGTCCAATATCAAAGGGAAGGGCATTAAAAAACGCTCCTTTTCGCCGTTTTCACGCTTTTAAAAGTGGATTTTCGGGATCAGCGTATTGAAAAACCCCAGGTAAGCGCAAATTTGACTAGGTTGAGATTTGCCGAGCCACTGCCTTTAAGCCCTATTAAAGGTAAAATCTTGTGCTGTAAGTGACGAGTTACTGTAAGATGACTGCAGTAATGAGTCGTGATTATGCGGTTTTCGCTTATGTCAGATATTGGATTATGGAGCCTGGTAAGTTTTTGTTGTAATTCGTCCGCCCATGCCAGATTTGTCAATTATACAATCCACAGCGCTATTAGATTTTATTCAACAAACTTACATGGCCGTTTCTTGGAGGTCACATGCTCATCTCTTCATATGCACTTTGATTCGACGGAATTAGTGGCTGGAAGGAGACCGCTCGCACCCACGACCCAGTCTGCGTTTCTCTCTCGAGCATGCTCTCTGATCATTCCCTAGCCTTAATTAGGCCTTGAAGCCCCGCCTTGCAGCCGCCAATCCCGTACTTCATAAACGACAATATATTTCCTTATATTAGCCTCTGCCTGGCTGTCGTCTCAGCTTTGAACGAATAAAGGTTATTTTACCATTTCTGTAGAGCTGCTTTCATTTCAAAAGCAGCACGACAGAGATGGTAAATGAAAGTTTATTCGAAACCCTTGTTTTTGATTATTTGGGAATTTTGTACCGTAAGGTTCCCAAAACTGTATTACGATATGTCTTGTTATCCACGATAATGCTCGACACTATCCAAAATTTGCTTATATGCATTACCATCACTCCATATTCTGGATGTAGCATTTTCACACACATATATAGTGTTGATTTTTATTCAAACCACACACATAAAATCAAACAGATGTATGTTTTTCTACAAGAGATCCCTTTCTTCTTCCGCAAAGATCGTTTCAAGGTTAAGCACACCGATGTTAAACATTCGTTTTGGTGTTGATCCAGAAGAAATATATTGACTAGGAATGCGGAACTTGACCTTGCGTTGACCAGGCTAAATGTGAAGTGTTAAAAGGTGGATTCACTCTATCAAAGGTCTTTGAATAATTTACCATTATGCCGTCGTCGCAGTCATGGTATACCTTGAAAACGGGGTCAATGTTCGTAAGTTCACGTGTCGAACCCTTCAACAAAGAAAATCTTGGTTTTTGCATGGAGATATGCCAGCATTGGGGGGGGGGGGGTTATTTATCAATTTCCCGATCTCAGATTGGGTGCATTAATCGCTATGAGAGCCTGATCGAGTTTTGAGCGCTTATATATTAGGGTAAAGCAGTGCCCGATAGATGGTACTCGGTCTAATTCAAACTTTTTTTACTCAGACTGAAGAGGAACTCAGAAAACTTCTGGAAGTCAATTTTCGATTGTGTTTTAATTACCTGTAAACTGAACCTTCCATTTGAATCAGTCACACCTTTATCAAGCTCATCATCGGGATCCGGCCCTTCAAAAAAATTCATTTACTTCTCTCAGGTACTAGAAAATCCCAAAATGCTGACCGGTGTCCTCATCCCAAAGTTTCACCTTCACACCAGAAGCTGGCTGGTCACCGCACATCAGTTGACCGGTAACACCAACTGCTTGCTTTCGTGTGATTGCGGAACTGCAAGCGAGCGCCAAAGGGAGGAGAAAGTAATGGAGCATTTCCAGATAAAGGTGGAAAACTGTAAATTCCAACGATTACAAGTTAACAGAAAATGTTTGACGTTTGACTCAAACATCAAAATATGTGATTAACTTGGTATAACCTCTGTGATTCACAAAGGAACCGCATGGAACAAAGTAATATCTGCAAAGATTACTGAAAGACACCATTTATATGTTTTCTTTTTTTTTCTGTAGTGTTTTTCCTTATCTATAAAAGACACATCTGTTGATTATGGGCTATCGAAATGTAACATTGACATAATAAGGATTACGAGAAAATGGCTCGTATCCCAAGGTGATTCACCTTTGCAAACTGATATCAATTTTTTTCGTGTTGATGAGTCAACTGTGATTTCATTGATGATGACGTCACCTAGTAAAGTCTGAACAAGAATCAAAGATCTTTGGAATTTGGTATCGCTTCTTGTTAGACTTAACTTCCACTTTTCTCACTATGCGGTTGGCCGTAGCGTTAAATGTGGTTTTCATTAACTTTTTTAGTTTTCTTTATTGCCGGGGCTCGATTATATTAGAATAAAAGTAATTACAGCGGATACGGCATTTTCCTATGCCTAAAGGCACCGTCCATCCTAAGTCGAGAGTCTTGAGCTTTTGGCAGCATATGATAGTAGGATCCCTTATCAAGCCAATGCTCAAGTCTGGCGCAAAATATCGCTTCGTAAGCGAGAAAATCGCTCCGGAATAAAGAAAATGCACGAGGACCGCCCTCCCCATCCATGCCCGCCCACCCGTGCGCCCAGTCAATCACCGAAAAGCCGGCCTGTGGATTTTCCAGAACGGAGATTGTTGGGGTTTTGGCGGATTCTCGACTTCATATTCGGAATCAGGGACATGAGAAGGCCCCCGAAACAGTCAAAATATGGAAGTCGAGAATCTGGGTGGACCGTGCCTTCAAGCCGTGAGAAATACCGTATTCTTAAGCATCAATAGTTGACAGTGCCCCATATGATCGCGAACGCGTCGTGCGGCTCAAGATAGGCGGCTCGCCAGGACCAGAGCCGCGCGGACCATGACACTCGGATTGGAATCCCCTGTGCATCTGCAGTTGTTTCTTGAAAGCCTGGACTCCTGCATTAACAGCCTGATTGCCGTACTGTTACGAGATAGAAAGCGTATTTGAATGTTTACACTCAATTCGTGATTTGAATTTTTCAATCAAAGAAAAAATGAAAGAGTTGAAACGTCGGTTGCGCAAGTACGACCTCGAAAATCGCCTCTTTTACATGTTGATGATTAAACACCTTACTATTAGGTTGTCCCGTATGTCTTTTCATACCTGACTTTTCAACGACATAAATCAGTTCTTCTTGAACTCCTGATAAATTGCAGGGTACCATTCGACAGATCAAAGTAAGCTCTACAAGACGGCGTTCAAAAATTCGCACCAAGTCCAATCCGCAACATGCTCCAAATTAAAATAAAAAATTTTCCCGAATTTCCGAAAAAACGAAAATCATTATATCTCAGTTCAAAACAGCTCTGCAAATTTCCTATTTTTTCATGCATATACTCTCCTCATCGGATATCTATAAATGCACTTGCTGCATTTTTCTGATGGCTAGAAACCAAGAAAAAATAATGCGCTCAATTTTCAAACTTTGCCTGTATCACTTCTGTATTCCCCGCAAGAAGGTGATTATATAGCTTGTTTGCTCAGAATTGCTGCCAAAAATTTGCAGCCTACTAGGTGGTGTAGTTCCTGAGAAAAATCGAATTGAAGGTCCGAATATGAAAAAAATTATGGGACAACCTAATAGATGCCAAAAAAACTATCACATTGCAAGATTTCAATCTCTCAGCTTCGTGGAAAAAAAAATCCTTTAGACGGAGGAGAAATCGGTAGTCTCTCATTTCCTCTCCCTTCGGCATAACTTCTGCGACTATCACTGATAGAAGGTGTCATCTTATCACTTGAATTATGTTTTGCACTCTTGTATCAATCGTAATTCCAAAGCACTATCTCACAATGTAATGAATATTATCGATTACTTAATTTTTTCAAATCCATTATTGAGTGAAGCAGTTTTAGTAATGTATAGTAGATTAGGACATGAATCTTGCATCAAGGTTAAAGTATTTCCTCCAGAATAAATGAATTCGTTTGGTATGACATAAATTTAGTGCGAAAAATCATGCGCTTCCTAGTTATGCTCAAAGTAAAACTCGTTTTTCTCATATCCCAGTAATAAAAGCTGACAAACACAAACACAAACATCCAAATTGTAATTCTTTTGAATTTTCGTTGCTAAAGCTGCTAAGAGGCCAGCCACTTTTGATTATGACCTATTCTCGTTGATTAAGATGGATTTTCTCTTCGGATGTCTCTACCATGAGTTGTAGTTTTGTTCTTCTTCTTTTGAGTTTCAATTTCATCTGAAGTAAAACTCTTTGTGCGTTGCAATTCACTATAAATCATTAAATTTGAATAAAGTCGATAGCTTCGTGTGCAACCTCAGATCTACATACGTACCCAAATTACAGTTTGATTTTTCAGTGTGAACTTTGATACTTTGTTTACCTTCAAACAAAAATTGCCCTTCGAAATGTTCTTAAGATACAAGCCTAAAAAATTCTGCAGCTAAACAAAACTGTCTCTAAAAAGTGAATCAACTATGTATCGAAAAGGAATTATCAGCTATGAGACCATTACTGCACTTTTAGGATGCGTCTCATTTTCATCTTCTTCCTCTCAATCACATACTGTACTTCTATGCGTCAACAATCTGTAGGAATAAAAGGCATACTGAAATGCGGAGATAAACCCGCAGCGAATGTGAGGGTTAAATTATGGGACGAAGATGAGGGTACGTTTGGTACAAGCTGCGAATAATTTGCTATTAGAATTTTTACTTTCTCAATTTTTTGTAGGACCTGATCCTGATGATTTGTTGGATGAGGGGTACACCGATGCCAATGGAAACTTCAAGCTCCAGGTAAATTTGATTTGAAAGAATTTGATTTTCGACAAATGTAGTTAATAATCTTGCCGATGAAATGTTTGAGTTGTGCTAAAGGCAAACATACGGCAGCATTTAGATAGCAGTGTTCACATTTTCCTTTTTTCACAAATTCTTCTTTCTAGGGTTCGGAGCGAGAAGCTACAACAATCGATCCTATATTCAAAGTGTATCATGATTGCAATGATGGGATGAAGGTGTTGTACTTATAATCTTACTCAACTGATTATCTTCATTACCCATGGCCATTTTTACCTGAGAGAACGACTCTTGTTTGAAATTAAGAAAAACTTCAAAATTTGTTTAATTTGTCAAAACTAAGGCTTTTCAGCAGAAGATTTTTACTGCAAAAAGCCTTTCATATAACATGCAAACAAAGGCTATGACTAAATAGGGAAGGATACTTGGTGACCCCGGCCATTCATAATGGTTTGTATATCAAAAAATGCGCCTTTTAATGCTGGTTTGATCCTTGTAAAGCAAAGAATTTCTGATGAGCGTTGATTTAGGAATGCCGCTTTTCCGCATGCACGTTTTCTTATACACAATTTAACCAAAGGCACAACAGCATCATTAAAGGTTTTTTCCTCGAATCAAAATTCAAAATTTATTATAAATTTTTATTAAATTTATTCAAAATTCACCTCCACAAGTAATTTATTTCTTTATATCAGTGCGCGCATGGCCTTTTTCAGCGGAAGGACAGATTCTTCTCGAATGTAAGGGCGTAGCTTACGCCATTTCCTCCGAAAAAAGTTCCGAAGTTTTTTTGATCCTGTTCCCTCCCCCCTCAAAAGAAACAAAGCTAATTCACATTTTTGAGTACGTGAAGAGTTTATCTAAATTATTCACAGGTCATAATGAACTAGTTCCATAGTTTCTTAAGAAATGTAGACCACTTTTTTGGATACACCGCTCTTGGACTGCCATCTGAATTTGCGAATGTGGCATTTTCAACTTTTATTGCTTCCTTTACATAGACCATAATATTCAAGAGACAACTTATCATCAGGTTTTGAGACAGAGTTCAAGCTTTATTCTTCATTTTTTTCCTTATAAATTTATAAATTAAATAGTTACGAATTTTTCATTTTATACTTATGGTAGTTTATTTCGCATTTAGTCTAAATTTCATCATTCAGCCTGGTTATCGTAAGGTGAAGTTCCGCATTCCAAAATCGTACATCACAAGTGGAAAAGCACCGAAGCGCGTCTACGACATCGGAGTGCTGAATCTTGAGACCGTTTATTCAAAAGAGGAGCGCGAGCTCTTGTCAAGATTGTGACTTGGATTCTTTGCAATAAAATGTATCTGGATAATAAAACAGCTGTTTTTTACTGTCGTTCGAGCAAAGAGTTTTTGCTGTAAGACAAAAGCTATCGAGTGGAGGCAAGCATAAAAAATTCTTAGTCAAAGCACCCTGCTTGTAGCAGACCGTGTCAATCTAATCTAAACTGTTAAGAACAGTAAAAAAAAATCTGAAAAGTGTTCGCACCAAGCTAAATGTGTCCTCTTCACATAATATTGTTTGACTAAGAGCTTAGCGCTAACTTCATACGTTTTTTGTAGCATTTGTCTCCTTATAAGTCTCTTTTAGCGATCATGCTTGACTCTGCGAATGAGGAGATTCAAGTATCACGTCAGGTAGTGGTCGTGGTCTTCCGAACAATAAATTTTGTAATGTCTTGTAATACTAAGTGGAATACAGGGAGCGCACAAAGTTTTCATGATACATTCTACTTAGAACGAAGATGAGTTTTTTCATTGGAACCATCCTTTTCTTTATCATATCGTACAGTGCTGGACATAACTATAGGGACACTCTAGAAATCGTCGTAATTTTCGTTCTTGTCAGTGAATCTGTCGGAAACTTTGCTGTATGGTGCGCATGTAGGCCTACCATAAATCCTCAGAACGGCTTCCAATCCCGTTGATTTCGAACGGAGAAAAATGGAAAAAATGAAAAAGCCTGTTTTGCAAGCTGGACATAATTATAAAGACACCTGGCCTTTTCAAACATTATAGCATTCCTTGACTCCCAAATTTTTTTGTTGAGTTACATCCCAGAATTTGAAACTTTTGCAGCACCTAGGACCTGTCATGCTACTCAAGGAAAGATGATCCTTGCATTTTTCGTTTCCAAATGCATCAGAAGTCAAACTGCGTCAACAAACAGCTGGTTTGAGGAGTCTTCAAGCCCGCGTTCATTTCAAATGGCAGTCCTGGAATACACTTAGCCTTTCTGATAGATAAGGTGAAGAGCGCTTTCGTAAACTCCGCGTAATCGCTGATATTGACAATCAGACTCCAACCGCCTTCAGCCGCAGTTGTCATCCGTTGAGAGTTGAGTCGAGCACCCTGCACAATCATATCCAACTCAAATCAAGAAATCGAACAGGAGACCGCATGAAAAAAACAAAATCTTAACTAATCTCACCTACCGCGTAAAATGAGACATGAAACAGAGAAGGATATAGTGAGATTTGTGATTGTGTTGAATCTACTGCTCGCAGAGAAATTTCGTAGAAAGTATTTCAAATCTAAATGCCAACTGCAGCACTAGAAAAAATCTGAAAGTTGTTGCAAAAGCTGCGTCTCCATGTAGACAATATAATAAATCGAGTCCATCACTTCACGAACATTGGAAAGTGAGTTTTGTGGTGCAAAAGCGCGACAACCCTATGGTGAGGTTGGAGTCTGATTGTCAATATCAGCGATTACGTGGAGTTTACGAAAGCGCTCTTCACCTTATCTATCAAAAAGGCTAAGTGTATTCCAGGACTGTCATTTAAAATGAACGCGGGCTTAAAAACTCCTCAAACCAGCTGTTGACGCAGTTTGACTTCTGATGCCTTTGGAAACGAAAAATGCAAGGATCATCTTTCCTTGAGTAGCATGACAGGTCCTAGGTGCTGCAAAAGTTTCCAATTCTGGGATGTAACTCAACAAAAAAAAATTGGGATCAAGAAATGCTATAATGTTTGAAAAGGCCAGGTGTCTTTATAATTATGTCCAGCTTGCAAAACAGGCTTTTTCGATTTTTTCCATTTTTCTCCGTTCGAAATCAACGGGATTGGAAGCCGTTCTGAGGATTTATGGTAGGCTTACATGCGCACCATACAGCAAAGTCCGACAGATTCACTGACAAGAACGAAAATTACGACGATTTTCAGAGTGTCCCTATAACTATGTCCAGCACTGTATTAGATCTGGCTGAGCATAAAGGTTAAAGGAAAGGTTAAAGGCCCTATCGATGAGCTTTCTCTACATCCTGCATATGCCAAAACCATGTCCGCAATGATGATAAGAATACATTGCGTCACAGATGAGATATTATCATAACCTTATAAAATATCACAATCTGACAGTGGTCTGAGAAATTTCTTTCAAGGAAAAGGGTGACAGAAATTTTTTGAGCGGATTTCTTCTAATGCAGGACATGGTGCTAATCTGCTGAGCAAAGTAAAATCGTGCTTTTATTAGTTCATTGAGTAGGATCAAAAGTGAGGGTTTTGCATAAACTGAAGACAGCGAAAGTAATTCTATGATTTCTCCAATGCGAAAGTAGACCATAAAAAATTATGAAACCCTGCATGTGATAAGCTATGACGTTTTTGAGGATTTTACGCACAGTAGTGTAATCTTTGATTCAACTGGCTTGGCGGCTGAAAGGTGCGGCTTTGTGACCTAATTAAGGCCGCTCGCGCCCGCGATGCAGTCTGCGTCTCTCTCCCGCTCGTGCTCCTGATCATTCTCTAGCCTTAACTAGGTCAAAAACCTCGCCTTTCAGTCGCCAAGCCAGTCAAATGGCTACATATCCATAGGTGATAAAATCAGTTCAAATGTGTGCTACTCCTTGACCAACGCTTGTATGGGCAATTCATGGCACGCAGAGAATGGACGCTATTGCGGCTGGTAGAGATAGTACGTTTGGAAGAGGCAGCAGACGGTTAGAGGAATGATAGTGCATTTAGTTCGGCTAGACAACGACAGTGCCCGCAGTCGCTTCTTTTTTAAACTTATTGCCTTCAGGGTAATTATGTAACTTCTCCGTTTCTTGGAACGCTTTGTGCTTGGGCTCTTTTATTCAGTCTGAGGTGCTATAGGAATTCATGGTTCCATTTACAAGGTACCCCGACTATTAAAACCTTCTAAATAACCAAATTTTACAAAAGATTTGATAAGATTCATTGTTGCAGTAATATAATGAAAAGCCGACTTATACTCTCATGCGCTCACAAGTATAGCTGATATTTATTCAGCTGAACTATGTAACACTTTGGGAATGGCACAACATTGATATAGAACATAGTCTGTACATTTGGCAAAAAAACACAAACAAACAATGGAAGTGACGCGAGATTTTTATACCCTGGATGTGTTGACGAGGATCGCCATTTTTTCGTAGATCATTTCAATATCTTGCTAAAATTAATTGTATAAGAGGGGCAAAAATTGAAAACGCATGATACTAAGTGTGTATTGAAAACTTACCCTAGATGACCAGAGTCCACAGTGGATGTGAGAATAGGACGATAAAAGCAGGACGACATCTACACAACCTTGCTGTTCCAGCTGACATGCTAATGATGTAAGGGCACAAAGGCAGTATGCTAGAGATGGTGAGGGTTCACCTGAATTATTTTCGTCAAGAAATTTCTCGAAGTATGGATTAAAGCTGTTTTACCATTGTAAATCATTGATAACGATAAAGTTGAGCTATTTGACGTGACATGGTTGACATGGTTGAGCATTAGTGGTTGTGCACCTTCAGAGGAGATTCGTGGACTAGATGATGAGATCTAAAAGGGATATTAATGCTTCAAAAAGCGGATAAAAATGGTATTTACCGTTTCCGGCCGTATCGGGTTGATGATGAGCAAAGGAGCGTCGTGATAGGCTAGCCGCTCCATTTGTATCCGCTCGACTTCGGCCCAAAAATCCGACTCGAGGGCCGCCCGAGTTACAACGACTATTCGAACGCAAAGCTGAAATAGAAGATCCATCTCAAAGCTTATTTACTTCTGCAGCTATAGCAACAGATCTGAAAAAAACCTAAACCAACCTGGTCTTCGTTGTTCTGCAATAACACGAAATTATCGCCATGTTGTATGCTAAGATCGTCCACTTTCTCTATGCCCGTCCAATAATCCCCTTCACCTGAAAATGAACAACATTTGATCAATTCATGTTCTTAGGTTGTAAGCGCGGGCTCGATCTTTTTAATAGCTTTTTTGTATGTTTCTTTTAGTTTATCTGAAATATAGTCAATGATGGTTTAAGGCCGGTTGTTGTGACAATATGTACATCGAAATTAACTTCATGTCAATAACCTCATTTGCACAGGCCTATTTTATTTTTGAATATTGAAATCAATTGCTGGTAATGTGCTCTGATATGACTGATAAATCTTGAGATTATAACCTCTCATAACTTAATAATGTATGTGTCGCAAAGTTTCATTCTAAAACGTTTGATTTCGTTTAACGTTGCTCTTCTGCATCAAATAAAACTCTTATATCGCGCAAGTTTCTGTCAAGCAAGTACATAACGAATGTCCAAGTACGCAACGTATTGGACATCAGAGACCAATAAACGAAGATATTGTTTGCTTAAATGTATAATTAGTGTAGCTATAACGGAAGACAGGGACCAAATGAAAGTTTTCACATCATGTTGCCTAAGACGAACGACTTACAACAAAAATTGCAATTTGCAAAATTGAAAAAGCGCAACATGACTGCAAAAATAGCCATTTTCTATAGACAAAATTCATTTTTTCGTCCTTTTGAACTCTTAACCCATTGACGACGATGTGGACCACCGGTGGCCTACGCGCTTTGTGCTGCCAGGGACGATGTGGACCCCCGGTGGCCCACACCTCTTGCAAAGTCGTCTTATTTGCAGGTCTAGTATTTTTTCCACATACCAATATTTTTTCCGATTTTTTGTATTCTTGGGACCTGTAGGCTCTATAGTTCAAGAAAATATTAATAGTTATTTACAAAGCAACGTTGCATTTTGTAAACAAACACAAAACCTTCCCACACTGAAAATTTTGCGCAAAATCGCGTCGTCCCACAGCGCCTCCGCGCAAAATTAGGCGTCGTCGTCAATGGGTTAATGTACTTTGGGTACACTTCATGGAAATTGTGTGGAAATGGAAATTGGAAATTTGGAAATTGTGAAAAATGGGGATTGTTTCTTCGAGAACGTCTCTCGGTCAGAGATGTATGAGAGAAAATCAGAAATAATTTTTTATACAACGACTTCAATTCACGACGCATAGATAAAAAAAATTTGCAGGTAGCAGTCAAAAAGAGTCCAACCATCCTATGAGGAGGTATTTTACAAATACGATTGATTTTTTTGAGATAGTCGAACTAAATTGGATCCATCTTTAGTTAAAATGCTACTGACTAGGAATGAGTCATTTGCAATTCATAGAATCTCAGAAAAGACTTTTTTGTTCAAATTTCTTATTTTTGGGGAGACCCTGCAGTTTGTGATTATAATCGTGCGTAATTGTGTTGCTATAATGTGCTCACTGGCTATAGATCAATGTTCTCACCTAACAAGACTACCGTCTGACAGTTCTGACTCCATATCAATTGCCACAATTCAGAGCATTCCTTCGGCCAATTTGCAACGATAAACTCATCTGGTCGGTGGTAGCCCTAAAAAGTGGTGATAGCGGTCTCCTCAAAAACCATTGGTGAAGTAAAAAAATCTAATTGAAATTTTTATCAAAACCCTCAAAATGAGCAGATGGACAAGATAACACACCGGCAGCGTGATATATTCTGTCGGAGGACTACACACTGGATTGTGGCGACATTCGCAGAGATCCTGAGAGATTTATATTATACTAGATTTGCGCGAAAGAATAGAATAACATGGACAAACCTCGTACTGCACTTGCATTCGCGTTTTACCATTCACATTTTCTTCTCCGAGATAGTTGAGGTATCTAGAAATGCTGAACATTTAACGTTATAAACTAGTCCTCTTGCGGGAGCGGATGGGTAAGTGTACCTTTGAAAGAGATCGGAATGAACCCGTGTGATGCCATGGCGAATGAGTTGTCGAACAGCTTCATGACAAAGCATGTACTGCTCCTAGAAATTTTTGCAGGCATAAGAGTAAATTTCAGGAAATATTGCCTATATTCTTTCAACAAATTCCTTGTTTTACATATATGAAGTGTACCTTCAGTAGCACGATAATTACTAAAAAAAGAGTTTTTGCTTCAAGCATCCGCAGTAATTGCGAGGATTTCTAGCAAACTTAGCAAAAAGAAGAAAATAAGTATAATTCTAAAATGCTTTTTGAAAACATCATATATTACAATTGGTCAAAAAATATCTCCGAATACTAAACTCAAAATTTCGAAATTTTTAGTAGTTGAAAAAATCTGCAGGTAAAAGCAAAAAAACGGTCCTCTTTTTTATTCTCTAATATGATTATCACATCAACCTATCAGCTTTTTGTGAGCTGAGAATAAATCAAATGATTTATCGAGATTTGCGAAGAACAAAGATTAGGTTTATGTTAGAATATTTGATCACTATTCCTGATAAATCATTACTTAGCTGGGAGTGGTGTAGGTTCGCAGTCTTAGAATGCGTCTTATGAGTTGCTTATGACTTACTTAATAAAAAAAAGCCAAAAAATTATAACTTACCACAGTTTGAACAAGTTTCTCTCGTTGTCTACGCATGTGAATGAGGTGACCCATGAGGTTCAACTTTCTGTAGCTGATCAAGTGACGTCGCATACTATCAACTAGGATAAAGGAACCAGAGCGACCTACTCCGGCACTAAAGAAATTTTTTTTTGATTTTATGAGAGTAGAAGAGTTACGGTGATCACATACCTGCAGTGCACAACAACTGGTCCTGTAGAATGTATCTCAGCTACATAATGCATAAATGTAAGAAGAGGAAAGACTGTATCTGGCACACCATGGTCTGGCCATCCTTTGAAATGTAATTGATGTACTCGCCGCTCGGTCTATAAAAAATTATCTTATTTTTGCCCTACGAATCATGAATGTGTGGGCTCACCGGTGGAACACATTTCGCTATTCTCAAAGTCAATATTCTATGTACAAAGTGCGTATTCGAGGTTTCGCTAACGAGTCCGATTTGATATTGACCGTGAGTTTGAGGTGTACTGTCGGAACTTGGCCAATACTGGTCACATTTTCGCTAAAACAGTTATAGGATTAGCAAAAATTGAAAAAAAGACAAACTTTATCTAAGCTCACCCTTCCATCTTCGACCATATTCGTGATAACAACGATGATGTTACTTCTTTCCTGCCACATCATCTCCCAGAAATCGGCAAAAGTTGATGGTAGAGGGGCTTGCGTGGCAATGTATGCGTTCCGTTTCTCACAAGACTAAAATTTTTTAGCTTTAAAAATTTTCGCGAATAGAGAAATCATAAGGCAAGAGCTTTACAACTTGATGAGGATAATCTTCAAAAAATGAATCAAAACTCAACCTTGGTAATTACAATTTTGAAAAATTTAAGACTCGTTAAAGACAATACGTAAAAAAAACTTCGAGACCCTTCGAACCAATGCAAAAAGTGCTTCAAAATTGCAATAGCCCATTGAAGCGTAAAAAATATAGCATTTAAACAGTTCCTCTTGAGCAAAGGAATTCCGAATAAAGTGTTCAAAATCTAATTAGCATGATCCTAACATTTTGATTCCTCAAGTTCTTATAATGGACCCATCAAGCAGAATTTGTAAAAACAGAAGCGTTGCTTGCGTCAAAAGTTACTACATAAATCAACTGTGTGTTTATTTTTGCATTTCAATTTTTGATTTCTATTATATTATGCTTAGATAATTCATTCCATTATGCGACTCATACGACCATGCGATATCTTCAAAATACACCCCTAAACTTCCCATCAGTTTCCCCTCTTATGAAACTGCCATATGGAATTCCCAGTTGACCTCCTAATCGAATCCAATCGTGTACTCATGTACATTTCCGGTAGTGCTACTAATTATTATAAACTACCTAGCACACATTGGCAACGAAATTACAGCGACGGCTTATGAGATAATCCACAAATCCATCAATACTCGAGTGTGTTGTGCACTCTTGTCCGACGATTATAAGCTTATAAGGCTTTCATTATGCTTTGTCTACGCGTAGCCCAGGATACGATAGTTTGATAAACAAAATGCCCTTTGGTAGTCGACATTTTTCCGGATTAGCATTTTGGGTGTTATAGGCTTAAAGTCTCCCAAACATCTTTTCCCACATCCTCAGAGGAGTGCTCAACACTCACATCGATGTAATTGGCGTTGATGTAATCAGACCCGTTCGTGGTGGAGTTAATTCGAACTCGAGAAGCCTCTATTGCACCGATGTTGAGATATCTGTATGATCAGTTTACAAAAAGTAACTTTGGTGAAGAACTGGAAATTGAATTCTGAAGGAGAACCCAGTAAGGAAGAAATGTACCTGTTCTTGTCCAAGTTCTTCTCTAGCATGTCCGGTTCTGAGCAGTCGCAAGATGTCAGAAGTTCAACTTGCTAAACATGCAAGTTTTACTTTCATAAAATAACAATAACACGGATCAAAATTTTGAGTGTTTTCATTTCATTTTCACAATGCTCAAAGTTTTGAAGCACAATATTCACTCCTTCAAACAAAGTGTCAAATTTGTCAATTTATTTGGAAAACAAATATCGCCAGCAAACTTCCGTCGAGTTCCTTAAGCGCTTTGATATACGAAACCAAAAAGTTATTACTATAATTGGAAAAACTCTATTATTGCGAATTTCCCAAGCCCCTTGTTTTTTTCTATTAGGCCAACATGGAAAAACTTTTGTCTCAAATTGCTCTATTCCTTCAGTCATTCATTTTGCTATTATTTCCTTTTCCGAACAAAAGAAAAAAAGATCAAACGCTTATAGTTCTGACTAAAGGGTGATTTCATTGGCTGAGGTAAGATGCAATGAATTTCGAAATGCATACAAAAATTTTTTTGCCGAAATTTTCCAGCTTTCCGAATTTAGGTGACATCTAAACAGTCCAATTTCAGATATCCGATCGTTGCTCCATCAACTGACTTTTGAGCCTTCGTGCTAATTGAGACATCAAAGAGCATGAAGCAAAAGAATGATAGTGCAGAAGATTTGCGGTCAAAAAGCATGAGAAATGAGTACTCGTTGTCTGAACATCAAAACACCTGTAGGACAAAAAGCTTTCTATGCTGCCGTTTTTTGTAATTTTCAATCATAGCTGTCTCAGCACTTCCATATAATAACAGACCTGAAATTGCTGCTTGTATTTAGCATTGTCGTTTCTTGCAAGATCTTCGCAGTAGCCATAGAAAAGCTCTACGGGAATGTCATCACATGTGGCCGAATCTGAAAAATGTTCCAAATCGAAAACAACAAATGTTGACAAAGGGATCAGCATAATAGGAAACACATCCACAAAACACCAATACTTGTCTAAGTTGGTCATAAAGATTCAATCTATTTTGCTTGATAATCAGAATTTACAATCAGATATCTCCAACTTCCATGCTCTACTTACTTCAGATAGTCAGATTACAATTTCTCCCTCAGCAGAAGAGGATTTATTAATATCACTTTTCCATGACCACAAAAAATTTGTATGAGGTTAACTGTTGCTGTTCAAGCTTTGGTCATCTAACCTTTTCGGACTTCTCAATTTTTCGAAGAATGGTAGGGTGAAAAAATGCAAAAACATTGCTTCTGCATCAGCTACATCTGTACAAAACTTTTAAATTATACCTACTAACCCCCCCCCCCCCCCGGATTCTCCATTGACTGTTAGCCACAAAATTATGAGTTTCGTGAGTGACTAACCATAAACAAGTGGGCTCAGTTCCTCCAGGTAAACGCACTTCTCCTTCTTCTTGATGAGCGCTTTGATATCGAGGCATTTTCTGTAATCGCACAAAATCACTAAGCTATTGGTCACTATTTCATGATGTAACAACAAACCCTTTGAGCGAATAGATGATCAGAAAGCAAAGAACTACAAAGAGGAATAAAGCAGCACCGGCGACGAGCAAGGAAAATCTAGGAGAGGAGGAACTCTAAAAAGAAATTGTTTAGCTAAAAATTACCAGATTTTTGACTGCTTTTGATTACTTATCAAATACACTATTTGGATCAGGAAAGGAAACTTCCGAACGAAATTGCAAAACATTTATTCTCTTCTTTGGAAATTTCCTACTGGAAATCTCCAAGGTTTTCTATTTTGATTTTGCACTTTTCGGAAAGTCTTCGATTTTGCCCCCCTTACTATCGAAACACGCAAACTTTTTGAGCTAAAGCACTTTCTCACGATGGCAACGCTAATCTCCAATTTCGACAACTTCAAGAGACAAAATCTGCGAAAAAGAGGGCTTTTAGAGTACTTCAAACGATCGCGCAGCCTTTTAGGACAAAATTAGCATACTAGAGCTTGGAAAAAGGAATACATGAAGAAAAAAAGATGATGAAAAAGATTTTGTGAATCACTTACATCTCGTAATCTCAAGCACTTGCTATTTGGTGAGCATACAGACGATTGATAGGAGCATTGCTCTGGAATGTGGAATCCTTGGGATGTGAGTTATAAAAAAGGCTAGGATACTTACGATTGAGAACGAATCGCTGTTCTTGCCCCCATTCACCAGTGAGAAGCGTTTGATTGTCTACAGTACTCCTTGCAGAGCATCGTACTCTTGTTCTGTACTCATCTTGCAGTGTGAGATCGCCGATATCAATCTAAAAGATAAAATATGGAAGACACACATTTCGGCCAAGATCAGAATTCTATAAAAACTTTCGAGAGTTTTCTTATGTTTGTGTAGCCAAAAAATTTTCAAGGATAGCTTTCTAAATGGAAAAGGCGGCAAATTTATTGAACCTTGTGATGTCATACATCATACAACTGAGATGCCAAATAAGGAAAAAATCTGCAGAAAAAAGTTCCAATTTAGTCGAATATTTTACACTTATATTACAGTTGCTGTAGCAATTCGACACTATAATCTGATGCTGCTTATTTTTTTATTAGAATTCTAAAATTTTTACCAAATGAATGGTATGAAAATGTGCGTTTACAAGTATTTCAAATCTAGAGTTGTAGGATGGGAAAAACTGATTTTATCACCATTCTGCTAGGAAAAATTCTACGTCGTACCAGTTTTTTGAAAATTTCTTTTCTACATGGATTTGGATTAGAGTAATTTGCGGATTCCACAGATTCGTAGTTTGCTGCTCTCTTTTGCTTTCATAAAGGTAGAAACTTGGAGATTTTTCCTACATTATTTGACTGAGCCTTGTCAAAGTACCTTGAGAGCCGTTGTATTGAAAAGCCGAACGTTGGTCTCATTTCTCAGTTCCACATGACAAATATGGCTTGCTGTGCTTGTCCATTGAAGTGTGATGCCATTTTTGCAATCAAAGGTGAGTTGAGTAATTTCTGGTGGTGGCGGAACTAAAAGAAACGAATTTTGATCTCAAAGATACTATTTTATCTTATATTTCCGTACCCACGACATCAGTAGTAGCAACATGTTCAACGCTTCGTTGTCCTTCTCCCTTTGAGCTTGAAGCTGACAATCGGAAGTGGTACTTGGTCGATGGCGCTAAAACTATAAACCCATAGCTATAATACAGGGAGAATCCGGGGCCAGGGCTCGGCACGAGGTGGCTTACAAGCAAGCTGGATATCGTTTTTGGGACGAAAAGCAAAGGGGGTTTCGTTTTTGTGACCAAAGAGACACGGAAAATTGGCGACGGCGACTTTTTTTTTAGTCGACGTTTCGTTTTTTGGGGGATTTTGGGGAATTTTTCAGGTTTTTAGAGGAAATTTGGTTGAGGGTCAAAGGGGACTTCGTAAAAATTCCCAAAAGTCCAGGGGGACTTCGTTTTTTCCATTTTCATCTAGCCACCTCGTGCCGAGCCCTGTCCGGGGCGACGAATATTCCAAGAAAAATCGACAAATATTCCAATTCGAAAAATTTGATGCATTGCAGAATTTCTGCGGATTCCTAATTTGGATTCTTAAAATCATCTTCAAAAATTTTGCGACCCAACCTCGTAACTTTATCTATCCCTGGATTCGATATTGCGATGATCATACTTGTCAAGAATAACTTCATTTTCACTAGCCACGGCGATAATTACTATTTTGTTCGCGGCAATAATTACATACTATCAGTTCTAGACTCTCAAATGTAGATCGAGTCAGAAGTGTAGGTAAATTCCCCTCCCTCATCTTCCCCTCTCCCCGCTTATTTTCCCCGTAAGTGCTACTTACCAAGTCCAGCAAGCTCGAATTTGTACGAGGTTTGTTCGGGTCGGGTGACACTAAGGTGATCGACTTTCCACTTCGCATGTCCGCGCATCTGAAATGAAGAGCGGCTAGTTCCTTGGCACTAATAAATGATGGCTGCTCTCGCACGAGATGAATGGGAAACAATGCAAAAGTGTGAGTTTTTTGGGTTTTGGAAGGAATCCAAAGCTCAGCTTGACGTGGACTAGGAACTAAGAATTAGCTGCGGTTCTGCGAACTGGACAGATGCAGGATGTCACTCTCTCCTAATTCTCGAAAATATCTCTGAATTCAAAATTCTATCGGTTATCGAAAAATATCAGTTGCTATGCGATATCATAATTTTTAGATTTCCGCAAAAAATTTGTGAATAATTTGAGCAGCAAAAAGTCTACTAGTGTCTCAAAATTTTAAAGTTAGAGTTAGAAAGCATAAACTTATTTCTATCAGATTTGAGCTGATGCAAAGTCTGAGCATAGCCGAATTCACAAAATCCATTTTGGCACGAAATTCTGCATTTACACGAAAAGCCGTGACAATGACGTACCGTACAGAGGCACCATGCATCAGATGGTCTGTAAGTTACGCACCGAGATGTTTGAAAATCGTATTTTTCCCATCCAACAAATTCGTTTGATACGATATAGCTTATGGAAAAAAACGTCATACACTTTTAATTGCACTTGAAACAACAATTAACGTTGGCAACGATGATAAGGTTGATAAAGCGGAGCACTCTACATATTTCCTAAATTTTGGTGCCCCAAAATTCGAAAGTTAGCATGTTTGATTTGGTTTGCGTTTTGGTTTACGATCTACTCTTTTCAACTTTAAAAAGTCGTGCTTATTCAATGTTCTTACGAATGATGAAAATTTTTTGAGGTTACCTGACATTTCGCTTTTTTGCGAATAAAATGTTTTGTGTGCAGATTAAAGTACAAAGTTCATTTGAAAGTTTATAGCATTCTTAAAATTGATTCTTCACGGTTATTGAAGCAAACTTGTGGACCAGTCGAATATTCTCGGGACAAAAGCTCTGGACCCACCTTATGATAGAGGTGATAATGTGTGATCACTCCTGAATTGTTGGGCTTTCTCCAGTGTACCATGATTGAAGGTGTACCGATGACAGGAGTAACCCGGATGTCTGCTGGAGCACCGCTTGGTACTGCAAATATTTGGCAAAATAGTTCAAAACGAAGAAAAGCATATAAGGAATGTGAACTTACTGCTTTCATCAGTTTGGAACAGTTGCCTGGCTGGGGGAGATCTGCCAAACCCGTTGTCTACTTCTAAGGAAAGCGCATAAGAGGTATGTGGTTGCAGTCGGCAGATAGTGTATGGCCCGCTCATGTTTCCGGGAAAACTAGAAATGATAAACAATACCTAATTTAATACTAGCGCCAAAGAGCTTCCAAGCTTATGATTCGACTCACAACTCTCTCCTCGGTTCATTGTCATTCAATCTGAGTATCAGGAAGTGATAGCCATTCAGTTTGCCATGCATATTCGGTGGTTCCACAGCTATGGAAACACAGCCTTCGGTTGAATTTCGAATTCCCAGTATTGCAGGTGCAGAGGTTGGAGCTGAAAAAAAGCTCATCAGAATAACGAGTCTTCTCTGGAAATTTGCCAATCGTAAGTATAGAACACTTACAGATAAACCTACATAAGCAAACGCTCTAAATTATTACCTTACTGGCTATAAATTTTTATCATCCTCATTGTTTGTAATAAATACACTTCAATGTTGCTGTTCAATCCTAGTTTGTTTGAGCAATTAGCCTATTTTATGTGAAATTTCCACAATGACTGTTATCAGCCTATGTTCTCCAATGGTTTTGAGTTAAAAGACTCAAAGTGAGTATCATTATAATGACTATAAAGCAATTTTTCCTATTTGCATTTGGAGCAAGTAGTACCCAAAGTTTGATAGATCTCGTGGGTGCTGAATCAAGAAGTTATTTGGCAAGAAAGTAAAAATATTCATACTACATCCCTAAGGATGTTAATCTGAGGGAAAATAACTGAGGATGAAAATATAACAACCTGAACTTCCGAAAAATTTTGAGTTCTTGAGTTTTGAAAGTAATAACAGTGCAAAATATGAGTAAATTCACTCAAGCTGATACAAGTTTATTGAGTTATTGAGTTTTGCACTTACGTTCACCAAGTGTCCGAAACCGTGTTTCTGGTCCAAATGGACTATGACCGGCTGCATTTTCAGCTCGAACCGCGAAAGCATATAGAGTATCCGGAGACAAATTATCAACTATGACTGTGGTAGCATTTGACGGTGCCGGCATCACAAATCGTGAGTCATCTTCGATTGCTCTAAAAAATCGGATATAACTCGCCCACTTCGGAAAAATTCCAGAAACAATCTGACGTACCTGACCATCACAGAAAATCGTATGATGGGACGATGAGCTCGGGCAGTGTTGTGATTCCATGCTAAGGTTACAGATCTGTTCGAAAACGCTTTCACTTCAGGACTGGATGGAGCCACTGGCCGGACTAAAAAATTCAACCCAATGAAGGTACATCTAAATTTTTGAACAGAAAGTTGATAAGTGCGAGAAGTTGCAAAGAAATCCCGATTGAATTGAACCAGTAGAAACTGTCTTTTTTTTTATTTTGAGTGATTTTCGTGTTTGCTATCTTGTGAGGCATTCATTGCACACCAAGATAGAAAATCGGTGCGTCCAATCAAGATAGATTGTGTTTGGGAGAGGCAGCAGACGGTTAGAGAAGTGAGAGAGCATTCAATTTGAGAGAAGCCGACAGGTCCGCAGTAGCACCCTGTCTGTGCATGAAAGATATTGCCTATTTTTGTATTCCCAAGCAGAGGAAAATTTGCTAATTTCTCTAGATCTTTTCACAAGATATTTTGGCCTTTAAGCCCATTCTGCAAGTCACACTACTCACTTCCATCTCTTATGCAATGGTTTTTCTGACATGAATGAATGCATCACCCATTGAGAACCCTCATCTTTTTTATTGCCCCTAACAACAACCCCAAAGAGAACCATCGACCTCTCCCATGCATCCGAAAGTAGGACCCTCGAAACTCTTCCATTTCATTCTAGTTTTACCCACGAGGGTCATCACCCTCATGGCATGCAGCGCAATTCGAACTATTTACACAATCAAGGCGGTGTCGAACTTCCTGCTCAGACGGCTAGTGCCTCTATTCAAAGCTGAAACGGGTCAATTCAATTGTCGACCACATCGAGCGTGAGGGCCCCATTACTGAAACCGCTCTGCGGCCCATTTATAGTGTCCCTTCATCATTTGCAGCCAAATAGCCCCCCCCCCCCGCGAAGTAAATGACCGCTGCTTTGCAGAAAAGCTGGCTGTAGCTGCGGCGGACTTTTATCTAATTCTGCTGATTCCTTGAGGATAGTAGGCCAATTATACAGTTAAGGGCAATTATCTTGTGGTTTTTGCACGAAAAGGAGGCAATTGAAAGAATCGCATGCATATTGGATGCGCAAGTATCCACGCTACATCGTAAATGCTATTTCCTAATGTCACGACTAATCGCCAAGAATTTAGCAGAACTTGCGAAAAAAACAACAAAATCAGGGTAGTTTGCAGAACTTCTGATTGCACCAGGTTGCATAAAAAAACCTAAACTCTACGAGATCCATGAAAAATTAACGAGTTTAAAATAGTGCGGTGAAAAAATTTGCACGAACTTCATGTAGTTTCAAACCGAGCAGGTTTACGGCATACTCAGACAACTGACCAGAACTTGGGAAAGTTCCGGCCGGTCACCTGTAGAAGTTTCGTAAACCCGCTGCGGCAGTTCCTAAGTGAGGTACTGCGGAAGTTCCGAAAAATGCGAACTACAACAGCAAAAGAGAACACTTTAGCGAGATTCGAATTCTATTAACTGTGAGAGTCACTCACTATCCTCTGCGTTATGGATGATGTTCAACAATGTGCTCTAGCTGTCGGCGAGACAACATCATAGGAGACAATACATTCAAAGTAGTGCGGAAGTACTGGCAACTCAGAGTGCTGCGGAACCGCTGGCATTTTCGGAATTTCTGAAGTGTTTTGTAACAAGTCATGCGGAAATTCCCTTTTTTGACTTTTCCACTTTTGTAGTAGCATAAAAACAAAATCTTACGGAACCGTTGCAATTTTTGCTTGTTTGCAAAAGTTCCGGTGAATTGTCTGAGTAAGCGTATTTTGGAAGTAATTCACTTTGGTGATTGGGTTTCAAGAAAATTAAGGCTTTAAAATAACCATTGTTCGTATTCACAGAAAGATTGATGACTGATTACGTATTTTAGAAATTGTAAGAGTCCAGGAAGTGATGTCAAAGATAAAATGTCCTTCAGCGATGTCTATTATTATATCTATTATTGCTTTCTGGTTTAGTTTAGAGACAAATATCCGACGACAACAAACAGTTTCTTTTGAAAAATTAGAATTCTGGGAAATTGGTGGGTTAGAACGGAAAGCGATGGCTCGAAAAGGGTCAAATTGAATCAATATAACATGATTTTAAAACTATTTAAGAAGATGCAATTGAGAAAGTGAATGGCATAGGATACTTCTGATTAAATTTTACAAAATAAGCTAATCACCTTTAGGTGTGTAAAATCGAAAAAAAATGTCGAAGATGATGAGATTTTCAATTTTTTTGCAATAAGTCCAAGATAAAGGAAGAAAAGCCTTTTTGGATGTTTTCAACTTTCACCTCAATCCACTTTTAATTAAAATAGTCTAATCTTGACGATTCATTCATTCTGTTATGTGCGGTTATGGTTACCGTCGGCTACCGAAGCACATCACATTAGAGCTTACGATAAACTCAAATACAGTGAGTGATTTACTACAGGATAAAAGATAAATGTGCTACAACTTGCAAGCTTCCCATCTTGAAATGATTTACGCCACTAATTTGGAGTTAAATACAAAATCTAGAATTTTCTAGCAAGCGGGACGTCCAAATTAGAGCTCGGCAGGAGCTGGCACCAGGGAAATTTCATGTACGAAGTCCCCTTTGATCTTAAACACTTTGTACGAAGTCCTCTTTGACCCTGAATCCTAAATGTAAAACAACCCTAAAAAACGAAACCTAGACTAAAAGCGTCGCAATCTCCGTGTTTTTTTTACCACAAAAACGATAACCCTTGGCTTTTTGTCCCAAAAATGATATCCAGGTTGACCAGCGTCACCTCCAGCTCTGCTCGTTTTATTTGTGAAGCAGTTCCACTGAGAATCAGCAACAGCACAGGTTACTGCTTTTCCACTTAGGTACCCTCCCCTTCTAAACCTCTGCTGACCGGTCAAATCGCTTGTAATCCCCGTGCTGGTCCCCAGCACTAGATTGCTCAATTGCGGGTCAATGAACCGTGGGTGCCGTGCTCGGGCGCAGGCGGCTTCGCTCGACGGAAAGTGTGGGATTAATTGACGAATTCGTCTGAAGATAAGATCGTCACCACCGTTGACGACTGACACTGACAGACAGCGCAATCGACGACACCCGCGGGATTGCGCAATCGACATGAATACTCGTCCAGTCGATGCATCGTCCAATAGCTCAATACAGGTGGTTCCACCGGCAGTTGGATGCCTGGTAAACATGACAACTCCCACTGAAGATGGGAATCTCGGCTATTAATCCTTCCCCGGGGTAAAATAATAGTTTTCACCTCCCTATGAAAACATAGATGTCGCCGAGAATCTGTGTCAAAGCCTGCTCATTTAAGCGGAAGGTGCTAGACACTGGCAGCTTGTCTGCTCAGTTGAATCCTCACATTCATGCTCTACTAATCACTGAGTAGCTAAATTCGCGACCTGAATGGTTAATTGCTCAGTTGAGGTTATCGGAAGCGAGCTAAGCGGGCATTATTTTTGCAACGAAAGCGATTGGAAAACTCGTAAATTAATAAACATTTGAAACAACAGATTTTCATATACTTCATTTGACCAATAAAAAATGAGTTTGAAGAATATTTAGAAAACTAGTCAGTCTGTAGCTTACTGCCCGTTGTCTGTAATTGTAGTAACAAGATACTAGCCAGGAAGTTGAATAGGAGAATTCGAAAGTCGTAATTACGTAGAGACACAGATCGACCAAATTCTCTCTAGTAGCTCATAGAACTAGATCCCAAAAACATTTAGATCAACATTTAGAACATTTAGACTTTCTAGTAGATTTAGAATTTTCAATTTTCAACGATCTGACATTGAAAATGATGAATTAGGTGTTTTATCAACATTATTACTGGCATGCAGCACTGATTTTTGCCCGAAGCAGTGCTAAAAGTGCATTTTTTAAAAATATGTCTCAATCATCCTACTCCGTAGAAAATAGAAATTGTTACGGTTTATAAAAATTTTGGAGCAAGATTTATGTAACAACCTAACAATATTTGTTACCTTTTTATAAATGTGGACAATCTGCTGCAAAATGATTTGCCCAGATTTGCACACAGCCGAAATTCGGATAATATAAAATTGAATAAAACTATTTTCTTCAACTTCTCGGTCATTACACTTCACATCACACAACGAGGTTTCAAGAACAATTTTTTGCAGTCTTAAGTTTCGAATTGCTGACATTGCGTTCATAGTTCAGTTCCACTTTTTTCTGGAACGCCACCGTAATCCTTCATGATGCGTTTAATCCAAACTTGCAATGCGAGAAGGATGAGGAAGTTTGGGAGAAAATTGCAAGGGGAATAGGTGCTTTAGAATCTTCTTTGAACTCAATTACCTACATACATTATCCCCAAGATGATCAGCTGAAACTTTACGCACTTTTAGGAAACTTCGAACTGTGAATATTGAACTATGAATTTTTCAAAAAGTGATTAAACGAGGTCTGCAAAGTGCTTTGGTTGATTCTAAAACTAGATAGTATTACTCAAGTTTTAACCATCTTAAAATGTTTGAGAAAGCTCATTTTCATTTTTTTCAGATCGCTCTCCCTTTGGAAGAAGATCCTTTAGTACAACGCGTTAGTCACTATCGATGGCAAAGATCTCGGGACCCGGATGTTTCACATGCATTCATTTTGTTTCGTAAAAGCACTCCGATGACTCAGTGCCCTAGCCGAACAATGTTTGGAAGATTGGTGCTTGGCACGCTAAGGGCCAGTCGGACCAGTCATTCCTTAATCGCTCCGGCCTCAACTGACTCGGACCCGTACGAGGTGACAAAAACATCGGTGAAGGCGTTCTAGCGTAATAACAAACTTACCCATCACAGCCAATTCGACGAAGGCGGTCGAGAGGGTGAGGGCGAAGAGCGGGTCGGTTTCCAGTCGACATCGGTACATTCCAGAATCTTCGGGTAGGATCGGGGCGATTCGAAGACCGTAGAAGGGACGGGTAAAGCTGAATCGTCCATCGGCTACCCACCATTGCCGGGAAGGATCGTCGACCACGTTCTAGAAAAAATGGGTTTTTGAAAGTAAAACCCTTTCTTAAACATAAATAGACTGTTTTGGCACCTTAGGGTAATATTTGACAGAGCAAAGCATTAGTAAAATTGGAGCCAAAACTAAATTTTCTCAGCCATCCTGAACGTTGGACCTCCTTCCAGAAAATTCCATGGACTTCCAAGTGATTACCAGAAAATGGATGCATAGTGATATTTATGAATGCATTTGTTGGATTTTTTCGCTGCACAAAACTGAGAAACAAAAATAGCCCACAAAAAATAGCAGTAAAATTATAAAAAATAGCAAAAATAAATCATTAAATTGATATAAAAATAGCAGTAAAAAATGAAAATGCGAAATTGTCACTTTTAAGTTTTTCATGTCAAACTTGGTATCTCTCGATCACCAGGGCGTTGTAGAGGTATGATCCTAACGTTATACTTACTAAGGCTTACAGTATATAAACACATATGTGGGAAGAGCTGGGGGGCGGAGTTTACCATTTTTGAATTATCATTTTTCTCCATTTTTATGCGCGAAAATTGGTAAAAGCATTTTTGGACACTAATATTTATCTAGTGCATGATGACCACCTTTGAGCTCCGCAGTAATTTTTTCCCCAAAATCTACCAGGTTATATTTTTTGACTTCGGCTTCAAACTCCACATGATTTGCGATTTAGGATGATCATTTTGTAGCATCATTATGTTTTCAGCCTAATAGTGATTTATTCCATCTCTTTCCTATTCGAATAAAAGTTGATCGAAAAATGATTTTTATGCTATTTTAAGCTTCTCTTTCCCACATGTGCGAACAACTCGTCTAATTGACGTGCTCCCTACGGTCTACGATCCCCGGGCTATCGTGTTACTTCCATTACGCCAAAACTAACTACTGAATAATGCATAGATCGGTGCGTAGCGCACTGGTGACAAGTGGGGGCTGAGAAGGTGTCAGAACAGCTGCTCGATGATATCAAAGAACATCACACCTGGATTAATTACAGTACGGGGGATTACGATAAGAGCATCTTGATGGGCCAAGGATGAAAGTAAAAAGTACTTAGAGGTCTTATATGCAATTTTATGAGATCTTTGAATGCAGGTAACTCTGACCGCTCGATTTCCTATCACATGTTATTAGGAAATGCAGGAACTTTTCAGCCACGGCGTTAGCCAAGCATCCCGAAAAAGTTTTTGGGACGGCCAAGCCCCGAAAAAACAAGGCTAATTTGAATTTTTAGAAAATTTCAAAAATCATTTTAATTATTTACAAGTATAAAAAAGTTATTTGCACATTTTCATCTTATATATAAAGCTGAATGTCTGTTTGTATGTCTGTATGTATGTATGTGTGTACGTATGTTCCGAATAGAAAATTCCATTTCTGAACCGATCCGGACCAAACTTGGCACACATACACTTCGGGCCCCGGCGGGTGTCATAGGCTACTTTTCGTCATCGATCGATATCGATTTTATCGATTTTTTTGCAAAATTTGAGCCACGGGGCTGGGAGTTGGCACAGGGGGGGGGGTAATCGAGCATGCTGATTACGAATAAAATAATGACAGGGCCGGGCGGAGTCGAGTAAGCCAGCTAGTAACCCATATAACTAACTTTCAAAAATTTCGCGAGTGTAATTATTTTCAGTTTTTACAGATATCAAGGAGGAAGCCGTGTGAAAAATAATTTTGCTGTTATCCATGAGGTAAGGACGTGATTGTGGAAATTTTGCATATGCTTTCACGTTAACATGATTTATTCTAAAAATACATATTTGCTCTTCTTACGCTCTTCGAGTGGTCAAGCAAATATCCTAATCCCATTACGCTTACTCACCAAGCACTTGATGAATTCGATCGAGACTGCAAAAAAAGCTTAAAGGGTGATTTCTGGCTGTAATGCATCAGAGCAATAACCACACGATAAAGATAAAGATGCCATAAATGCGCATGATTCGATTGTTCTTACGTCAATAGCTAGCATCATTACAATGAAGAAGATGTATGGCTGAGTTATGAGTCGAGATAAGCTGTAAATGTAGTCCAAAGCCAGTGTCCAGGCAAATCTGAGCATCAGAGCTTTTCAGGTGCATAATGATTAGAAGGACTTAGTTAAGCTCTAGAACAAACAGCAGCTAAAAATCTTGTTTTTTTGGCTGGATAAAATTAGCTTTGAACTCATAAAGTGCCTTAATTTTTCCGCACAGATCAATCAGCGACAGTACTCAAAAAAATTTGAAACATCAATTTGTCGTTCATTTAGTTATCACCTCTGAAACTCTTATTGTTTAGCTCACATCATTACAAACTGTTGCTCAGATCACATCGCGGAGTTTTGACATCCTATAATTAGACTTGTCTCGTTTTACTTTACTAATCATAACTTTGCCACTGATCCCCTGGTAATGATTGTATAGTCAGACACTAAGCTAAAAGCTACTAATAACTAATGTTGATTTTGGGCTTCCCCTCAAAATATTCAAGCAAAAGGAGTGCCGCAATCATCTTTGGCAATACAATAAAAGGCTCATTTGCGATGTGCTTTGAGATAATGAAAATAAGTCAGAAACTTTTCCCTGTGTTCTAGGAATGAATTAGACAAAAAAGAGATTATTTCAAAAGCATATCCATAGTGTAACCCGGCTAGAAAAATTGGAAAAATGGGACACTTTGTAACCCAATTGCGAATGATGATTACTTAGCTATACTAGTGACGTAGCCATACATAGCAAGGCTTCTACTTTTTTACATACTTTACTCACCGAGCCCAGTTCAGTGCTTCTCCACAATTTGCAATGTCATCTTTCATAACTTCGTAGGATAGTTCTCCTTTCACTTTTCCCTTTGAATCTTCTAGCATGGGTGGAACTGTTAGTAGGAGCTGGAGTGATATGCAAAGGTCCTTTCTCATCACAAGAATGTGTATCAAGCGTGCGAGCAATAACTTTAGTGCGTCCTCCCAATGCTCCAGATGTTGAATGTGCTTTTTTGTACGATCAGGGCCATTAGTTAGAAGCAATTCGATCAGCTTTTATTCTTTGCATAAAAGCTGTGTCCCATGTGGAAGGTCTTAATGCAACACATTCCCCCTCCCCCTCCCACAAAAGACCACCAATCTGAGAAAAATGAAAAATTATTATGAACTAGGTAGCATATGGATATATGATGACCATAATCTCATAACAAAAGAAAACAAAAATAGAAATTATTGAAAACTTCAACGCCATTTTGCTTAACGAACTCAAACTTTTTCTGATTTTTCTTTTCTCCAGCTCAATTTTAGGTTTTGGAAAATGATGATAAGAGGTCATACTTTCGGAGTTTTTGATTGCTGTGCCTGTCCCAGTGTGCAGCCCCAAAGGTTGCTAGCCCCGCCCTGATTTGTTCAGCCCTCGTTTGTTTAGCGGACCATGTTAGTCTTTCATCTCGCAACACCCGCTTCCGTTTCCGCGACGCATCTCGCATTGCATCCGGACAGATGTTTTCAAGTGCCAATTAGCCGCGAACCTATTCTATACAATAACCAAAAGAGAATAAACTAACAATCGGTTAGGTCCTCCAGCCCAGATTCGCTTCGTTCTCTTTGCCCCCTTTTCCCAGAAATAAATCGAAGGGCAGCGGCAGAAAATGGAAAATGGAATTTCAACCAGGCGCAGGCATGCCTAACCAAGCAGAAATCTTCTTTGTTATGACTCTATTTTTTTCTGCTGAAGAATAATGTAGGTAGCATATTCTGTATGTGGTATATCCGAAGGAAAATCATGTGCTTTTCGTTTCTGTTCGAGTTATGCTAAAATCACGTATTCGTAGTTCTGCAAACGAATTTCAGCCCAGCTTTTTCGCTCCACGATTTCGTCAGCAAAAGGCAAGCTCGAAAAATAAGGATTTCGAACAAAGGCTCGGAGTTGGAAAAGCTGGTTAGTTGGTGAGCATTACACAAAGAAGCTTCGAGAAGCCAGGAGATGCTCGATATTCTTGCAAAAGAAGGCTAAGCTATTCTTGATACTAAAAATTTGCTGCAGGAACTTCACCATATTATCAAAGATAAAGTTATGGAACGCAGAGAAAAAAATTATTTAACCTATTATATAAAATCATGAATACGAAATGGAAAAAAACTCAGAAAATCAAAACCAAGTAAGAGGTTCAGATTTATTTGGATTCATTCTACTAAATTTTTTCAAAATTTTTACTCTAGTTTCGATAGTTTTGTGGTTTTTGAAAAATTTTGAAAGATTTTATCTAATGTTAAGAGGTAACTTTCGCAGGAATAGTGCTCTTTGAGTGGTAATTATTACGATGTAAATAAAATTCATCTAATATGATGTTTTTTGGGATACATCCGCATACCCTCCTTACCCATAATATTATTAGCCAACGAGGTTCAAAAACTCTCCCTCCATAGTATAGGTATAAAAATAGACCATGATAATTATGTACTACTTTGAATATGAACTAGGTAAGCCCGATAACATTTAGATCGCAGACAATTGAGTTCAAGGAGAATGATGTAATTGTGCGAGATTTCTGAATTTCATTGTCCCGAACAAGAAAAAAATTTAAGGAAAAGTGCAAGGTGCAAGTAACTTATGAAAGAATAAGGAGGACTTGAGCTGACGATCATTCAAGAAACATTGGAACAAGCGATCAACAAATAGCGTATAACGGGTAAAGTAGATATTCTGATTCTATGAAGTCGAAAAACCAGCTAGAATCCCGAAAATTTAAGACTTTTGTCATTATTACAGCTTAAAACGCTTATGTGTTGCCTGAGGGTATGGCAGGAACTTGAAAATGAAAGAATACTGGAGTTTAGAAAGTCCATCGTAAATTTTCACTGCAGTACATATATGACAAATTCTTAGATAAATATTGGGCTGAGTTTTAGAATCCTATAAATGAAGGTGAAAGATTTTATTCTAAGACATGAGTAAAAAGAGTCTGAAAGTGATTCACACAGGTTTTATTCCAGCAAATCGTTTATAATTTCAAATATTCCTTAT